CTCCTGAGACCTCAAAAGGCTCACGAGTGTCTTTTCCACTGCATAACCAAACTGCCCTGGCCAGAACAGGGACTTTGTGAGCTGGCAAGTGTGATGTAAGACACAAGATAATTACATTCCAGCATTGGAGCAAAAGTCCCTCGCTGTTACCTCATCCTGAAACTGAGGATTTCTTTTTAATTCTTAAGATCTTTCAGGGAATGTTCCACTTCTGTAGTTACCAAAAAGGATTGACTCCCTTCTGAGATGATCACCAGTTGTTTCAGTAATTCACGATGGATTTAGTCAGATCCCAGAATATTGTCTTGGAAATTTTTTCACAGATTTGTAGATATTTGGCAGCAGCTATCATGGATCCTGCTAGACTTCTGATAGAAGTTTCTACTTGGCATGTTCTGTCAAGCAAAACAGGAAGAAAAGATCGGGTTTCCCAGAAATTGGAGTTCTTCAATTTTCATCCGTTGTGTCCTAAGTAGCCATAGAAGGCAACTTGTGTTTCTAGTTGCCAATCTGGTATCTAAACCCAAAAGTATTTTGATAGTTTCACTACACGCTGCTCTCCCCACTCTAGTTTCCTCTCTGCAGCTACCAATACTGTTTACCCCCTATGCACTGGAATTTCTCCTATAGCTAACCTGAATGTCTTTGTACACTGGGAGAGCTTTGTGGTGAACTACTGTGGGCTCAGCTATTTTTTAGGACAACCTGCAAGATGGAGCTGGAACAAGCATTGCCATCCTAATGGGAAGGTCTTCTTGGCTGTAAAGGTTAGCATGCCTGAGGAATTCAGGTTTTAGTAGAAAATTTGTCTTTCTATAAGAACATTATTGAAATAAAAAATCTATCAAGTCTTCACATCTTAAAGAGTTTTGTACAATATTTAGATTATTTGGTATTTTATCTACTGTCCCTGAAGAAATACAATATTGCAGCTCTGTAGCAAAGCAGAGCCTTAGACCCAACCATTCTCCAACTTCTGTCTAGAGCAGCACAAGGGACTCGAGGCAGGCAGAGCTCCCAGGATGGCATAGATGAGTGCATGAGGTTGTTACAGTGCTAATACCAACAGCCAGTAATTTCGGTATTTTGAGGAATGTGGACAGGTAGAATCTCAGTTTTACACCAATATGCTATGGTGTCAATATATCATGACCACAAAATGGTACTGCAGCACTTCGGTCTGAAAACAAATGATAGCGAACACTTTCCTTTCTCTTCTGGGCAGGTATTATTCCACAGCTGTTTAAAGTTGCTCCTGCTTGTGCCATAATGATGAGCACATATGAGTATGGAAAGTCTTTTCTCATTTAAATGAAAAAATGAGCCAATATCCTTAATTCTCCTTCATCCGATTGTATGAAGTCAAATTATATGGTGAAAGTTGTGCCAAATTTCAATCTGTCAAGGCCTTTTTCTAGAATTGCCAGTAAATTTCTGCCATAACATTTGGTAACTAAATACAATTTCATTTTTAACTCTTTCACAAAGGATAAATTCACTTTTTTTCTGAAGACTAAGAAAATACACATGACCCTTAAACTATCATTGAAGTTTTTGCGACTTCTCTTGCAGCTAGAGCAAAAAAGGAAAGAAAGGAGGAAAAAAAAAAAAAAAAGGTGCTGACTGTTCTTCAATGATGATTAAAAGGTGGAAAAAAATTGAAGCTGGACAGAGTACTGAAGAATAACCACTGCCACTGTGTTAATTTTCAGTCTGGCGAAACATTTTTGTTGGGTATTTCAAGTGAAGTTTAGAAAATGTTTTGGGCTTCCAATTGTATGATATGATTATTCCTCCATAAGGAGGATGATGCAGGATGAATTCAATAAATGCTTATTTATTCTTGTTTAATACATGTTTAATTCTGTGCATGCTTGTTATTTGCAGCTCTATATTTTGTGTAAATGCATACAATAAAATAGTCTTTTGTTTCAGGTTTATTTAAAATGAAAAATGCTTTAGGTCAAACTGGAAAAAGTACATCATGCTCATTAGAAACCCAGAGAGCACAGTGAATACAGTGATAAACTAAAGATCGACTGCAGCACCTAAGGCAATACTCTTAAGAAATTGAAGCAGACACAGGCACTGAAGACAACTGCCTGTAGAGGTGTTGTGGAGGAACGCTCTCTCACAAGCTGTCACTGTCACAAAGCTCCAAGGCAAGGCCAGGCTCCCTGCCAGGGAGCATTCCTCATACACAGTTTGTGTTTGAAGGCCAAGTTTGCTGGCATAAACACAGGTGGTTCCACACCAGTTTGAGTCAGCCATGTCTCTATCTGCAGGGAAGAGCACCTTTAGTTTACTACTATAAGCACAGCCATTGTCTGCTACAGCATGCTGCATACGCATGGTGTGAAGAGTTGCAGCGTCTCCCTTGCCCAGAGGCATTTGACTTACTGAATCAGAGCTTCCTCTGTATGATTTTTAAATTATTATTATTTTTTGACTACTGTCACTACCTCCCTTCTTTCATGCATTTTCAATAAAGTGGTTGAATTTTATTTGTTGCATATTTTAATGAGAGGGTGTGTTGGTACAAAAGCAACTCAGTAGTCAGGTCATTAAGACCCCAGCTTTTGGGTGTGCTTTACTCAAGAAATGGACTTCAGTCCTATTCTGCTACGAAGAAGGTATCCCAGCGTGTGTTTAGCCTTGGTCAAAATTAATCACGTGCTGAAAGATGCTCTAGTTGTAAAGAAGTTAGGAACAAAGTTACAGCAAGCGGTGCAGGCCAGAGGTACTGCCATGGGAGATATTTGACACTGTTACCCCATTGTAATTGTTCAAAGTAATTTCACACTAGAAACTCAAAATAAGGCCTAAGAGAAAAAAAGAGTAACAGCAGACTTGGGTCCACATTGAATGAAATATAGCAACAAACCCAAAGTCTCTCTGTTTTGCAAGAAAAGAATTTGCTATAAGCTCAGTAATACTGTAATTTGCTGAATGGTCTTATTTTATCCTGTATGATTAAAACAGAGACAAAAACTACTAATTAGCGATGATACAAAATTTTTAATTTACATGCAACATTTATGGAACATCAAGGCAACAAAACATACAGTGTTGGCATTTTTTCCATTTTTTAAAAAAAGAATGTTTAGAACTGAGAAAGACACATATAACTGATTTCCCATGCACAAAATGACACCCAGAAACTCAGTGATGTCAGACTATATAAAAGACTTCAGTTAAATGATGCATGAATTTCACACCAGTAGCTCCAAGAAAAGAGCCATTAGCGAACATGACTGAAGATCATGATTACAGCCCCCTCCAAAATACTGACGTAGTGGGAGAAGTGTTTAACAGCAAACAAGACCAATTAAAGAGCTGTACCTTGATGCAGAATGTTAACTTGTGGAATCCAGATTCCCTCACTGTATTTGTAGTAAAAATGCAGCTCTTGTTTACAAATTAGTACTTAATAATGTTACTCAACTGCCATGAGAGAACAGGTGCTTAATGTGATAACAAACAAACAAACAAAAGTTACATGTAATGGACATTCTGACAGTGTATGAAAGGATTTAATGGTCACAGTTTATTAGAGAGAAATTAACTGAGTGGGTACACGAGGGTTTGAAAGACAAGGTCTGGTAGATTTTGCTAAGCTGCTTTAAAAAATCTGCGTTAAAATGGCATGAGTAGTTGTCTACCCTGCCATGGATGCAACAACCTCCAGCACTGTGGACTAGAGAGTTGAGGAGATGTATCTTGAACCTCCTCCGGCTAAGTCCAACAGTGCCTTCAGTGCCAGAGATGCGTAGCCTCATACTTAAAAGGCTAAACATTTCCCCTCATTTGTTTTTACTAAAGGTAAGAATGAATCCTCTTCCTTTCAAGCCCACCCTAAGATGACCAGATTATTGTAGTAGTGCCAAGGTACCATTACAACAGGCAAATCAACTAAAACTGTACAGAGTATAGTGACATACTGTAAACACCTAAGAGTAAGCAATAATTAAAAATCTGTCTGGTATTGCAGCTACTCATGTAAACAATTTATGAAACTTCTTTGGCACAAAAAAGCATTTTCCCTTGCACTTATAAATACAACGTACTTACATGCGTTTAAGTTTTGTTTAAAAAGTTACTAATCATACCGATAAGCGTTACCTTGATTAGCAAAATTCATAGATAAAGGATCCATTGTATCTTACAAAGAATTAAGAATAGTTTGCAATTCAAAAATTAATTTGCAAACTTTGAAACTGTAGGGTAATCTCGAAAGTTAGTTTCATTTAAAAAATGTCTCCTTTGTTTTTTTCTATCAGTAATTTAAATCAGTGGCAAGTACTTTAAGAAAACTGACTTAAATAAGTTCTCCTGTATTACCTAATCAAGAAAAATACCTATTGCACTACTACAGGAATGAGAAAAATCTTTAACATGAGAATACTGTCATTACATTGTCTTTTTTCCCCTTTTTCACTCTCCTTGGGATCTTGCCAATAAACACACAATCCAGACTTCCCAAGGTGCTAACCCCACCATCCTTAGTCCTCGTCTTCCCAGCAAGGCCAATAAACCAAGAAATTTCTCGTATAATGTTTGGTTATCTGAAACTCAGGTCACTCAGAAGCATTTAGTGAGTTTCCTCAACATTTACAAATTGCTAAGTATGCTTGACTTATATGATCAACTTACATTTGTTATCCACATGCAACTTCAAGAATTAGTAAGAGTGTTTCAGTGTGATTCTTCAGTGTGATTCGGACATCTCCTAAGTACCATGATACTGACAGGAATGCAAAATCTAACACTGAGTCAACTTGAGAAGAGCTGTTGATAGGTTAACTATGCTATTTGAGGTCCTATGCAACACACACAGATGAAAAGCTGGATTTTGTTGGATAAAATACTTACTTGCATACAAAGATTGGCGTTAAGGATTCCCTGTCTGTTCTGCAAGAGTTGATAGATATCTAAAGCACTGCAGAGAAGCACCGTGGCTAGAGTAGGGCCAGGCCGTTGCAAGGAGAAACAAAGGTCATGGCAGTTAAGTAGGGGACTGATTTCCAACAATTTCACTTTAAAAATCAGTCATAAGCATCAGATTATATGTCCTGTACTTGACCAAGAGCTTTAAATAATTCAAGACTAAAATAGAAAATCTGAAAAGTCCTCTGGGGGGAAAAAAAAAAGTGAACGAAAACTGACAGAATTTGTGAATTAAATAGGTAACAATGAAAAGAAAAAATAAAGCAGCTTATATTTTATCTCAGAACTAGCAGTCCTCATTGCAAGTCACTTTATGGAACATAAACCAAATGCATACAACACAAAGCTGTTCCTTCTTGTGTGCATCTCAAGATGGTGTTAGGCCTGGACTTGTCATCTCTGTTGTGGGACTCGCGAGATATTCACTTGATTTCAGACTTGTGAGAGATTTGTAGCTTGCTACTGATGTAAGAGAGCCACAAAGACCAATCAATGATGGAGTGTCTTCCTTCCCTGTTAAGAAAAACAAGAATTAAGCTAGTAATTTTTACAGCACAAAATGACCTGACCAAAAAAAAAAAAAAAAAAAAGAGGGAAGAGGAAAAACTGTTTCATCTACACTATTATGAATTACAGATTACTGCTTCAGCACACACATACTTCATAAATGCAATTAGGAAGACACGTAATTTATACCACACCTTCCCTGCCCAGGTGGTAAAGGGATCCCTACCTGTGCATCACAGGCTGGGCTGTACTTGGTCTCCTACAGAGGGAGATTCAGAGGCTCCACTGACTACACAGTGAACTGAAGTTACTAATTCAAGCACTGGTTTTAGTCGAATACATTATATATAAATGAAAGTGATGTTACTAATACAATGTCAGTACCAGAGATGCAACTTTAAATCTTTTGGAATGGAGCAGAATTAACTGGAATCAGGATATAGAATCATTATGGTTGGAAGAGACCTCAAAGATCATCAAGTCCAACCATCTACCTGCTGCCACCATGCCCGCTAAACCCACTAAACCATGTCTTGAAGTGCCACATCTAAACGTTTTTTGAACACCTCCAGGGATGGTGACTCCACCACCTCCCTGGGGAGCCTGTTCCAATGCCTAACGACTCTTAACAGTGAAGAAATTCTTCCTAATGTCCAGCCCGAACTTCCCCTGGCGCAACTTGAGGCCGTTTCCTCTTGTCCTATTGCTAGTTACTGGGGAGAAGAGACCAACCCCCACCTTGCTACAACCTCCTTTCAGGTAGTTGTAGAGGGTGGTAAGATCTCCCCTAAGCTCCCTCATGACAAGGATGTAAAAAAAAAAAAAAAAAAAAAAAAATCAATCAACCCAAACCACACCCTGCCCAACAATTAATTATGAAGAAAAAGTAAGTGACTTTAGTTCTCTTGCATCATTTATGGTTCTTATTATCAGCTTCCAGTAGGTTTTAGGTCTTACCTCTACTGAGCTTTTTTCAAAAGACTGAATAGCTTTCCCTAAAGAATGAACTAGATTAGCTCTTTTTAAAAGTCTTCACTTTTAGAAAAATCTTTATTCCCATAAAAACTACCCTTTAAACTCTACATTCAATTTGAGGACATAAAATACACAAAGAGCAGTGTAACACTGTTTGGGCACAGCCCTTCATTTCAACAAGTGTGAAGCTAAAAAGCTGACTACATGAGTGGGCTTAATAGTAATGTGAAAGTTCTAAGACTTCTAATCTTTTTATTGAAACTGCCATACTGAGAGTTAGACCAGAGGTATTTTAGCAGCAGGATCACATGCCCTGTCTTACAAAATTATAGTAAAGCCTAGGTACTGATGAACCTCACTAATTTAGAAATGAGATATTATGCTACCTTTAAAGACAGAGTGTTGAAATCAAAACCTAAACTATTATTATCGGTGGTTTTGCCATACTTTAATTTACAGAAGATAAACTAAAACATAACTTCAAACTAGTAATATTGCAAAAAAACAGTTGAAAGTAGATCCGCACAAGGACTCTCTTCATAATAGCCATGCTGATTCTCTTTCACTTTCTCTAAGCTAACTTGAAATAACTTAGATTTTAAGACTGTTTAGTTTTTTAAAAAAGTTCTAAATTTTACATCCTTGATATTTTAAAACCAAGAAATTTTCCAGTTATGAACTACTAAAGGCTCTGTATTATAAAGCCCATTTAAAGCTAACATTTGATGAGATACCAAAAGGATTTTTTCTAGCAATTTATGTTCTGTACTCAAAACGCTATTGTTTCAGAAGTCTTCCAGCATTTTTCTGCTTTTCACAATTGTCCACAAGATGGAGCAGCTAACCTTTGAGAAGTGTACAGATTTTGAAAGGGGGGCTATATGAGTATACTACTTCTATATACTAGCACGGTTCATATGCTGTTCCTCTCTCTGTTTTAACAGAAACACTGTCAGGCTGCATCTCCACAGATAAATGTTGAATGCAAGATGTAAGAATGACAGTGATAGTTGCAAATCCAGTGCCTTTAATCTTTCTTTTAAGAAACAGAAAAGGAAACTTAGAGAACTCAAAAGATTTGAGTTGGTTATAGCAGAAAGATGACAGAAGACCCTCCTTGTAGCTGAGCTGTCTCTGGTTCCGTGCTGGAGAAGGAAGATACACAACATATCTGAAGCTTAGCTTTAAACACAGCACAAAGTCTTATCATTGCTGGGGGGGTGGGGTGGGCACCTTCATAAATCCAAACTTATTTGAAGTACAGGTCTTAGGGAAACGAACAATTTGCATAACAATGAAAAAATATGCTGTTGAATGCATATTGTGTTCACAGTGAAAATTCATCTCACAGGGACTGAAGATCAGAGCTATGAAGAACAAAGTAAAAGGAAGCCACTAGACTGGCTGTGTACCTTCATTTAACAAGTTCATTCCATCCTGCTTCCCATCCTGTGAGTGACCTGGATCCAGAGAAGATTGAGAAAGACTAACTTCTGCTGAAAGCTGGTCCAGACTTTGAAAACTTTTCCTGCAAAGCAAGTAATATTGAATAGTAACATATCTAAAGATCTAACTAGATATCTTCAATTCTCCTTAAAATTTTTCTAAAAAAACCCAAAACCTAGGCAGTTAATCTTTCTTCTCTTAAACACTCTATTTTTTGTTTGTTTGTTTCCTAAAACAGTGTTTTCCTAAAGCAATGACTTCTTTTTTTTTTAAATTAATCCAAAGGAAGGCAATTTTTATGGTAAGTGAGAGAAACTGATTTTTTTTTTCTGCCAGCTGATCCTTGTGCATTGTAACAGGTAATTCCAATAGGATACATTTCAGAGTATGCTAACGGAAATGTATCATTTTTAGCTTTCCTGTTGCTCTAAAGGTGAATCAAAATAAATATTCAACTTACTCATCCCATTGTTGATTGTGCTTTCTATAGAGTAGAGTGTCCAAGGCAACAGCATTGACATCCAGAGCTCCTGGGGAAGGCCACTGATTGGTGAGGTGAGTAGTTAATTCTTGCCTTGATCTCAAGTCATTATTCTTTAGTACAGCCCTGTGAATACACAAAGCAGTAAATCTCAATCTATTAAATGCATATCTTTAAGGTACAGAAAGAAAAACAGGACAAATAGTCCTGACCCAGTTGATGTTCTACTTTGAGTGACCAACAGATTGCAAATTTCATAAAGCATCTTAAACTCTTCGTTTGTCCTAGGGGAAGCAACTTAGAAACCTATTGAGACAGATTTAGGAACAGAAAAAAGCTGAAATTAGAATCTTTCGGCAAAAGCAATAAAAAAGCAGCTGTATTCTAAAGATTCTTTCTGCCAGCATCATGGTAATTAACAGGCCAACTATTTTGCAAACTGGCTATGGGAACGTGATGTCCTTCTCCCCCACCCCCCCAATATTTTTTGCAGCTTGAACACACACACACACACGCCTTCTCCCCCTCCCCCCAAACTTTTGCAGAATGAACCCAAAACTAGACATGTTAATTCTATTATATACTTCCAGGTAAAATATTAACACATAGTTATTCTGTTTTCTACCACCTTACAGTTTCTATGTTTTTAAATCACAGAAAATGTGTTAACCAAGTACCTTAGATATTCAAATTATTTTTGCCTCATATTCCCATGAAGCAGACCAGTTTCCTGAAATTCTGGAAACGAGGAAGCTAATACGCTAATACTGGAAATCATCTGCCAGAAGTCATACAGAAATAAGGGAAGTACATGGTTCTTCAAGCTCCAAGACAAGATCAGCCTTTTTCCAATAGTACAAAGCAACCTCCAACCTACCCTTATGCTGCTGCAGAATAACTCTAGACACAAAAGTAATATTGCTTGTTATCCCATAAATCCTCCAATCCACGAAATACTAGGCAATAATGAAATGCTGCATTAGAACAAGTTTGACTGTCTCTGGCCTGAAGCACATAGCTAATGTTGTGTATCTCCATGCCGAATGTACTCAGGAGTTCAAAGCCAAATGCTGTGTTGCTATCTGAAATGCCAAACTGTATAGCCAATTAAATAACTATTCATGGTACACATACATTTATGTGAATTCACAAATAACATTCTCAACAGGTCTATTTTTACAATGCAGCTTTTATTCTGGTGGTATCCGAACTGTTTAGACAAGAACCTCAGTAAGGACACATACCACCACCCAAAGAGCCAAAATTTCCCACAAAACAAGGTAAGACAATAGCAAGTTCAGTAAGGAATTTTTAGTAGCTGAGTCTGAGAGAGGATACAGATGCACAGCAATTTTGTAAGAGAAGTGGTGTAGCACCACGGTGAACAATATTTTCAAGAAACTTTTCTCAAGAAAATGAATTCCCCCAGCATTCATGCAAGTAAGCAATCAACTTTTCTACCAAGGGATCTCCCCCCTCACCCTCCTCTCTAAAGGGTCTATAGGAATAACCACTTTGATAACCCAAAGCTCTCAATAATTTCAAATATCTTGTATGGTATTCACTTCACCATGTATTTCCTCTAATCCCAGGGGGTACATCGAGAATTAAACAGGTCTGTTAAAGGCTTGTTGATCTGAGTAAACTGAAACAGCGACCTAGCAAGTTCTTGCGAGGTTAGCCAGTTACCCTACATTGCCTCCTTATTCAGAAGGACTTCTTGTATGCTTTCATAGAAGTTTTGTAACAGGACACAGTTTATATTAGCAACTATGCACACAGTAACTAAATGCAAATTCACAGATATATAATACATACGTGTAAATTCCTGTTTGGACAACTCCTGTATGTTACCACCACACAACTTAGCAGCAGTATTAAGTAATTATTAAATAAACATACTGAGCAAAGGCGGCAAAACCAGACATCTACAGACAAGTTGCTAGTCATGGAATTTTGGCATTTTATGTGAGTTTCTATATTGAGGCTTTTCCCACAGATCTTTATGCTACAGTAACCTGAAATTTCACCGTTTCCGTGTGGACAAATAAATTCTGAAGCAAAGACTAGCCAAACTGCTCCAGGGATTTTAGCATAACAACATTTAAAGACAGTTCCAGTAGATCACTGCTTAAACCACTCCACCATGCTCAGGAAGAAAACCAGGCCTCAAGTAGGATACAGAAGTAACTATTCTCCTCTTAAAATTTCTATGCTTTTATTTTGAATCTTTAAAAATATGTAAAAATAACTTTGAATATATAAAATTAGTCCAAACACAGTATTCAGTCTGTATAAAATAGTAGTATAGACAACAGGCAGTTAGGCAAAAAACATTCACAGCATGTGCTGGCAGTTACCACCTATTTTTTCAGCCGTGTAGATTATTTAGCTCTTTGTTCTCTTGCAGCCATTTTTAAAACATCATGAGATTCCACTGCAGCAAAGACTTATTAAAGGCACTGCTTGCAAACAGCAATTCTCTCAAGATAAACAAAGGCAGTATCAATGTATGCATATTAACCAGACTCATTTCAAGAGTCAAAGTATTAAACTGCACAGAATCCTAGAATCATTTAGGTTGGAAAAGACCCTTAGGATCATCGAGTCGAACCGTAAACCTAACACTGCCGAGTCCACCACTAAACCATGTCCCTAAGTGCCATGTCTGCACAGCATACATCCTCTTCAAACTCTTAATCACCGTGAGGCAAAAATCATCCTGCTACAAATATTCAAAAACAGGAAGAGGAAAAGAAATGGAGACAAAAGTGTTTACTACAGAAAGGAGTTTAAAAGGAAGAAAATATGATTAAATTTTAATAAAAAAGCATACAAATTTCAAAACACTGATTGTGAAAAAATGCTGCACAAGACTATTGAGTGCTGTCCTGCTCTTGGTCAGACAAGAGTAGCTCTTTCTAGAAGTTAAGAGCTCTCAAAAGACAACAATTTACTTTATCCAAGGCAGACTGAATTTCTACAGCAGCACTCTTATTTCTCAGAATGCAAACACTGTAACTAGTGCTGGCCAACTCTGGGTTGCGATACTGCAGGGTTTGAAGTAGGGCTTTTCTTAACGATCACAATGAGTGCAGTGAAGATTACAAGCTTTCCTCTATATGTTTACTGTCAAGCTGTTTAACCAAAAAAAGAATATTACTATTAAAACTTATTTATCTGCTAGCATAGCAAAAAAAGTTTGGCATATAAAAGCTTTCAGAGGAAAAATTAGATTAAAGTCTTCATAGAACAAAAATAAGAAATGAAGAACTGGTGGAGAGGTCCAAATGGCAAATAGGGATATTTGTGAAATTTACAAGTTTCACAAAATATGCAAGAATAAAATGTACAATGAGTATTTTCTGTTATTTACACACACATAAAAAAAAGGAACTACTGAACTCTTTGGGCCTCGACTTGGAAATATTTCAAAAGTGTTATCAAATGTTCACATAAGAATAATGTAATGTAATATACAAGGTTCTCTATAAAATGCTGGTCTGTAGTAAAACATACCGAACTGGAATGGCCTATGTGTGAACAAACTTTATTCTATTGCCTCTGTTCCCGAGAACAAACAGCTGGCAATAAACACCAACTGAAAACCAGAATTACCTGAACGCCTGTAGACCAAGACTCAAAGCCTAGATGTTAAGAAGGATATTCCTTATAAGGAATAAAATCCATAATACATCATAAGAACAACACTGAAGATCACAAGTATGCAGTTCTACTTTTAAATAAAATTCAATAAAATATTGTTCTATTGGTTTTGTAGCTGTGACAACTTAAGGATGATGCAAGATAAGGTTTGTAGACAATATGTTAAGCCATCTAATACAGGAGTAAAAGCAAGGTTATTCCAAAAACCAGAAGAGGAAAAATAAGAGAGACAAAAGGATTTACTATAGAAAGAAGTTAAAAAAGAAGGAAATCTGATCAAGTTTGAGTGAAAACAAGCAAACGAGCATATACAAGCAGCTGTTAACTGCTTTTCTTCAGACTGGAAATAGAAAACTTGAAAGCCAAAAAGAAGTTAAAACCAGTGGCTTCTAAATGTAATAATCTCAGGAAGGTAGTTGGTACATGGAGAACACACTGGATCTTAGTAAGAGATTGTATTATTATTTTTTGAATGAAAGAAAGGCAGTGTGTGAGATATGGCTGAATAGGGTATCCTGGACTAAGACGGTGAGACTGCAGAGTGCAGAAAGTTTTGTGCAGAGTAGGAAGAATATGTAAGAATCTATTATGAGAAGAGGGGGCTTAAACTGATTTATAGTACATCACCTAATCTAGGCATGAAAAAATTCTTGGTTGTCTGAAAGCCTGTGAACTTTTTTCCCCCCATCCACTAACTGGTATCTTCTCTACCTACAGTCATCTCCACCTCTTTATAATCATGTTGGCAAAAGTAGCAGAAACTCTCTTTTGTGATCTGCAGAAAGAAAACAATTATTTTTCTCCTGAGCAGTCCTCACCCCAAGAAATGTTTTTATAAGATAACTTCATATCGTGTTTAAAGTTCTGAAAAACATTACAAAAATCAAGAAGTAGCGAAGAGATGGCAGGCAGAGAGAGAATAATTCTAATTCCTTTGGAAGTACTTGCTGAATTGCTATTTTCGTACTGAAAAGTGGTGAGACAAACCCAGCAAAATGCTTGCTGGGATTTATTATAGGAGAGAGTCATTGGTGATGCTGGAGACAGAACACATTTTCAAAAAATTGGTTTTAAAATGATCAAATATCCTTTGTATTACTTCACAGCATAGATTTTTCCATAATGCACATACAAAAGAAAATTATAATATATGGAGTCTCACCATGTTACCCCAGGTTTCCCTGTTTTACATTTGAATTGTGGTGGGTTTTTTTCTTAATGTCTAAAAAAAAAAAAAAAAACTCCATACAAATTCAAAATACTACTGCAACTAATAATTTGTTAGGAAAAACAAGCAGCAAAAGAGATGAGAACATCTTCTTAATACCAGAATACATCATTAGAAACTAAAAAAGATATTTGGCTTACATTTATTTTTTTTGTAGTACATCAGAAACCACTATTGAAATTAAGCTCCTCTTAGAAAACAAAGAAAAGCATTCAGTAAAAACATCCTGCTA